TAGGAAACAAAACTTCCAGAACACGGCCACACAGCCCGGAAGACCCACACCAGCCACTTAATAAATTATTATTTATTATTATTATTATTTATAAGTTAGGCTTAAGTAACTATTTGTAGCTTAGTGTGTTATGTGAACCCAGCCTGTTGGGTTAGCTTATAGTAGTGTGACCTCAGAAAATGGACTCAGTAACATTATTAAGTATGTTTGATGATGACTTTCTTAATTAGCAATGAGTTCACTGCTTTGCTATCCCTGTGAGGAAAGGGAGAGCTGTTAGCAGTAAGATTAAAATTTCACAATAGAGCAGACTAGGAAGAGTTTAGGACACAGAAAAGCTCAGTGATAAGGAAGCTGAAGAGAACTGAAATTCTAAGTCAATAAATAAAAATGTGATGTTAGTGTTAAAAGGGGAAAGTCTCTTTTGAATGGAGCTCCTGGTATTTTCATGAACATATCTATGTAGCTTTCATGGCAACAGTGCCAAAGGGATTTGCCATTGCATTCTTCCAGACGTTGTTTCAGCCTCTCAGTCAAGGCTACATCCCTGCCATTTCTAAGGGTTTCCCATCCAAGTCCTAACCAGATGTGACCCTGCTTAGCTTTTCAAGATCAGCCAAGGTCAGCTAGGTAATGTTCTATTTCAGCTATTGAATGTCCAGCTTGCCACACAATGCTTACAAAAGAAAAAAACATGTGTCATATCCCAGTAGCTATGTGCAAAAGGTTCTGTGCAGAGAATGGCTACATTTTGGATGGTCTGTGGACACGTGTTCCAGGCAGAGGTGTTTCAGAGTGGGAGACAGTAGGGAAAAAGCCACTGGTGGAAGCTAAGGACATGCAAGAGAAAGGAAGATCTGAGAAGAGCAGGAAAAGAATGGCCTAAATATGCTGTGCTTGAATTCAAGCAGTGATAGGGGTGGATGGGAGTTGAGAAGATGGGCAGGAGCACTGGCACACAGGCTATGAGGAGGAAAGAGGAGTGAGATGCAGCAGTTTTGCTATACGGTAGTCACCTCATAAGACCTCTCTGGAATTTACTTTGACCATAACCCAGAACAATCAAAATATTCTAAGCTGAACTGAAGTTTGCCCAAAAAGAGTTCAGCCAAACCTCTGAACCACAATGTGTTTGTTTCATGCACAAAACATAACACATTTTGTTCTATATACACCCCTATGTCCAGACACAGCTAGAAGGACTTGTAGAAACTTACTTAGAAACACAGAGTTCTCAGAAATATGAATGATGATTGAAACCAACAGATGTTACTTCATTCATCACTACATCCCTTCCACCTCTGATGGATCTTCACCATCACAGAGCCCAATGTCCTTCACCTTCAGTGAAGTCCAGTTCAGTTCTGATCTTCCTCTAGCCTTCTGCTTGAGAGAGAGAGAGGAGTGTGTCAGAATGGAAATGAACATGAGAAAAAGATGCCATAAAAGAGAAGAGATGGGATGTCAATGAGGGGACGGGTGTCCCTGTCTACTTCTGGCTTCCCCACTCTACTGCTTCCTTCAGCTCCACCCACAATATAGCCCCAGAAGATTAGCCCTAAGAAACTGTAGTTCTTGATAGAAAAAAAGGTTGTTCTAAGTACCAAGGCTCTCCTCTTTCAGGGATATCAAATGTTTAGCGGGTTTGGATACCTCTTTAAGCTCACCTACCCTCTCTTCCTCTCCACCTCTCTTGCAACAGATCCTGAAAATGCTGACAGCCCCATCAGGCTTTTCCAGATACTACATGATTTAGAAGAAATTCACCATAAGGAGGTTTCCCAGTCAACTGACATGGCCCAGCAGAATCAGAATCACTTGGTGGAACTGCAGACGTGACTCCCACAAAAAATTCATTTGGGGGCAAGTTCCACCTTTGCCCTGTACAAGCAGGATGGTTGCTACACCCCCAGAATGGCAATTACACTCCCGGGACTCAATTTTGTCCGCTGAGATGGAATGGGTGGGACTTGGAAGGTCCTAACCTCTCCTTCTGGACCTCTCCTGTAATTCGGTTGTTCAGCCTCTAGTCTCCATGGTGCATTGAGACTGGGTGTTTTATCTCACTTCATCAACCAGAATTGGACAATTATTCTTTTAAAAAAGACTAGGTTTCTATATCTCATGATGCTTTTGATAATACATAACAACAATACAGTTACTCTGTTTGGGGGTGGTAGGGTGAAGCTTCTATGCCTTTCACCCTTCCTTCCTTCTTTCTTTCCTTATGTAGCTCTAAAAATACACAACTCTGCATTAATGGTCTGAATCTTGTGAAGTAGCAAGTCCCATGTCCCATCTTCCACAGAACTTTTTCACTAGCAATGGCTTTCCTGAAGAAGCCGCATTTCCCAGATTCCCAGCTCTGATGTGTAGATGAGTTGTGCTGAATCAGAACAGGGTGAGGTGGACATTTCAACTTTTGGGAGCACCATAAAAGTGAAGCAAACTGCTCAAATATTACACAAAATCCATAGGTGCAAGATCTGGGACAGGCAACAGAGAGAGAGAACAATGAATGTCTCTGTATAATGATTTCTTGGCAGGGGAGAGCTAGGGAGCATCCAGTAAGACAAATGAAGATGTCCATATTGATATAGCTAAGAGGAATGCTTCACAATTCTTGTCCATGACTCTCCTCCAAGCCCCAGGAACTTTGAATGTACATAAAGCTTTTTTAAAAATAAATCATGGACTTCATCTGTTACATCAATGTCTGGCTTTTTTTAATTGCTCTCTTTGAAGAACATCAGATTGACATGTAGATTGCAGAGAAAATTTTGAGATTAAAAGCATGGTGATAAAAATGTGTATGCTTTCTTTCCATAGCTGAAGGAGACAAGGACGGACCAGAGAATGAGAGCTGATCTATCATTAAAGCAAAGGGGGCAACCCCAAATTCACCCTAATTAGGTGAAATGTGCCATTAAACCTAGGTGGTTGTCAGATTACATACTAGAATAAAATGTGATTGGCTTGTGTGATTTTGATTGATTGATTTATGATTTATATAGCCACCCATCTCATACAAGTGACTCTGGGTGGCTAACAAACCCACCAAACATAACTCCTGGTGGCCAAGTACATCAGGTTCATCCCATGGATGTCCACAGGAGTGGGTGGGACTGCAAATGACAAAATCTACAGGATCTCATCACACTAATGTTGCAACTGACTTGTGTCAGATGCTGGGACACAAGTAATAAATAAGGGCAGTGTTGTGATGATGTCACCATGCACATGTAGTCACTTTGCCATTGTAGTGTGCTGTGGATACTGCTGGTTAAGGGTCTCTGCATGATCAATGCTTAGGAGTCCCCAACCTTTGGGGCTGATGGGCACATTTGGAATTTTGGAAACATGTTTTTGGCATTTTTGCAAAATGTCTGCTGAGCTACTGTATTCACAAAAATAGCTGCCACGTGAGGGAAACTAGTTACTAAGCACCAATCCATAAAAGTCTTACCTCTTACAACATGGGATATTCTTCCTTCCCCTGCTTAACAGTGTTCCTTTTGAGGATGGTTGGGTATTTTCCGCCTTCTTTTTATACTCTATGACAGTTCTGGAACCAGAATCATTGCTGGAAACCACAGGATTTGTTGGCCACAAATCGTGGTTTTCAGCCCAGCCCTTTAACCCAATGAAAGACTGGACTCGAG